TTATATAAATTAGTAAAAATATACTAATCATGATTTTTAGATTTGAGGTTTGTTACTAGTAATTTTGATTCTTCTTGAAGAAATGATTAAAATTGTATTATTGATGGTTGAGTATTCATCTTGTAAAAGAATAAATATTTAATAGTATTTGAACCATGAAAGTTTCTAACTTGTGTCCTTTGTATTATTAGCTCAACACTTTAAATAACTAAGCTAACAAGTCATGTACATGTATTATTTTTGTGACCAAGATCCTATAACTAACTAAGTTAATAGGTTAGTCAAAAGATTACTATAATGTCAAATCTTTTATAGGTTTACAAAAAAAATTACATAAAACCCTTAAAAATTAATAAAATATAATAATTATGGTTTTTAAATTTGAGGTTTCTTACCATTAATTTTGATTATTTTTAAGAAATGACAAATTGTATTAATGATGGGTGAGTTCTATAATGTCCATTTGGTCTTGTAAAAAAATAATAATTTATAAGATTTGGCCCATGTAGGTCTCAAACCTGTGACCTTCGCATTAACATGACGCTCTAACTAACTGAGCTAATAAGCAACCTATAAGTTTTAAATATGTAACAAAGATGCTCTAATCAACTAAGCTAATAGGTCAACCAAAAAATTATTATGATGTTGAATCTTTTATAGTTCTACAAAACAAATTATATAAACCCATTAAATAAATTATTAAAAATATAATAATGATCGTTTTTAGATTTGAGGTTTGTTACCATTAATTTTTATTTTTTAAATAAATGACTAAAATTGTATTAATGATAGGTGGGTCCCACGATATCCATTTGGTCTTGTAATAATAATAATAATTAATTTGATTTGGCACATGTAAGTCTTGAGCTTACAACCTCTGTCTTATTAGCTCAACACTCTAAACAACTAAGTTAATAGGCCACCTACAAGTCTCAAATTTGTGACCAAGATATTCTAACCAAATGAGAAAATAAGCCAACCAAAAAATTACTATTATGTCGAATCTTTTATAGTTTTATTAAAAAAATTACATAAAACTCTTAAATAAATTATTAAAATATAATAATCATGATTTTTAGATTTGAGGTTTGTTACCATTAATCTTGATCCTTTTAAGAAATGATTATAATTGTATTAATGATGGGTGAGTCCTATGATATCCATTTGGACTTGTAAAAAATAAATGGTTTATTGAATTTAGCCCATGCAGATCTCGAACCTGCGATCTTTGCATTTTAACACGATGCTCTAACCAACTAAGCTAATATGCCACCTACTTTTCTAAAATTTGTGACATAGATGCTCTAACCAACTGAGCTAATAGGTCGGCCAAAAGATTACTATAATGTTGAATCTTTCATAGTTTTACAAAAAAAAATTATATGAAAGCCTTAAACAAATTATTAAAAATATAATAATCATGGGTTTTAGATTTGAGGTTTGTTGCCATTAATTTTGATTTTTTAAGAAATACCTAAAATTGTATTAATGATGGGTGAATCTCACGATATCCATTTGACCTTGAAAAAAAAATAATTTATAGGATTTGGCTCTTGGAGATCTTGAACCTGCGATCTTCACGTTATTAACACAACGCTCTAAATAATTAGGCTAATAAGCCACCTATAAATTTTAAATATATGACAAAGAGACTCTAACCAAGTAATTTGGTCAAAAAATTATTATGATATTGAATCTTTTATAGTTCTACAAAAAGAAATTATATAAACCTCTTAAATAAATTATTAAAAATATAAAAATCATGGTTTTTAGATTTGAGATTTGTTACCATTAATTTTGATTCTTTTTAAAGAAATAATTAAAATTGTATTAATGATGGTTGAGTCCTACGATGTCCATTTGGTCTTGTAAAAAAAAATAATTAATAAGATTTGACCCATGAAGGTCTTGATCTTATGACTTTTGCATTCTTAGTTTAACACTCTAAATAACTAAGCTAACAAGTCACCTATAAATCTTAAATTTGTGACCAAGATACTAACCAACTAAGCTAATAGGTCAGCCAAAAATTTACTATGATGTCAAATCTTGTATAGTTATACAAAAAAATTACATAAAACCCTTAAATAAATTATAAAAATATAATAATCATGGTTTTTAGATTTGATGTTTGTTACCATTAATTTTGGTTCTTTTAAGAACTGACAAATTGTATTAATGATGGGTGAGTTCGCATATCACGATGTTATTACCAACTAAGCTAATAAGCCACCTACTTGTCTAAAATCTATGATGAAGATGATCTAACCAATTGAGCTAATAGGTCGGCCAAAAGATTATTATGATGTTAAATTTTTTATATTTTTACAAAAAAAATTATATGAAATCTTTAAATAAATTATTAAAAATATAATAATCATGGTTTTTAGATTTTAGATTTGTTATCATTAATTTTGATTTTATTTTAAGAAATAACTAAAATTGTATTAATGATAGGTGAGTCGCACGAAATCCATTTGGTCTTGGAAAAAATAATAATTTATAAGATTTGGCTCTTGTAGATCTTGAACATGTGACCTTTACGTTATCAACACGATGCTCTAAATAATTAGGCTAATAAGCCACCTACAAATTTTAAATATGTGACAAAAATACTCTAACCAACTGGTAGGTCGGTCAAAAAATTATTATGATATTGAATCTTTTATAGTTCTATAAAAAAATTATATAAACCTCTTAAATAAATTATTAAAATTATATTAATGATGGCTTGGTCCCACAATGTTCATTTGGTCTTATAAAAGAAAAAATAATTAATAGGATTTGGCCATGATGGTCTTGATCTTGAGTCCTTTGCATTATTAGTTCAACACTTTAAACAACTAAGCTAATAAGCTACCTACAAGTCTTAAATTTGTGATCAAGATTCTATAACCAACTAAGCTAATAGGTCAACCAAAGAATTACTATGATGTCGAATCTTTTATAGTTATAGAAAAAAATTACATAAAACCCTTAAATAAATTATAAAAAATATAATAATCATGGTTTTATATTTGAGGTTTGTTACCATTAATTTTGGTTCTTTTTAAGAACTGAAAAATTATATTAATGTTGGGTGAGTCCCACGATATTTATTTGGTCTTATAAAAAAATAAATAATTCATGAGATTTGACGCATGTAGGTCTCAAATCTGCGACCTTCACATTATTAGCACGATGCTCTAATCGACTAAACTAATAGGTCACCTACAAATCTTAAATTTACGACAAAGATGCTCTAACCAATCGAGTGAATAGGTCGACTAAAAGATTACTATAATATTGAATCTTTTATAGTTCTTATATATATATATATATATATATATATATATATATATATATATATATATAT